CCCCAAAACCCCAAAACCCCAAAACCCCGCCTTATGAATCATATGATTGAAATAAATTCAGGATAATTTTAAGATAATTGTCAAAGTTTAAATGATAAAGGGAGTGTAGTCTACAAACTTTTGCAGACTGATAAATCTATTATGATCAGCCAGATTTTCATGGAAGTGAGTCATCTGGTCTCTTAATAATGACGGTCTTGCTTTCCAAATAGTTTCTGAGACCTGCTTCTCCTAGTTCTCTTCCAAGTCCAGAGTCCTTGAATCCTCCGAAAGGTGCAGCAGCATCAAAGACATCATAGCAGTTAACATATACAGTACCAGCTCTAAGTCCGTTCGAGATCTTAATAGCATTATCCATGTTGTTGGTCACGAGACCAGCACCAAGACCATAGGCTGAGTTGTTGGCTCTTTGAATAACCTCATCAACAGTCTTGAACTTGAGGATTGAGAGGACTGGTCCAAAGATTTCCTCCTTAGCAATTGTCATGTTATCTTAGACATCAGCGAAAATAGTTGGTTCTACGAAGAATCCCTTATTTCCGTGTCTCTTACCTCCAGTAAGAAGCTTAGCACCCTCTTTCTTACCTGATTCAATGAAACCTAAGATCTTGGTTAGTTGCTCTTAGTTAACTTATGGGCCTTACTGAGTATTTGGGTCGAATTGGTTTCCAATTACAGTCTTCTTTGCAAGTTCAGCAGCTCTGTTTACAAAAGTATCGTAAATCTTTTCATGAACAAAAAGTCTGCTACCAGCAATGCAGCATTGCCCTTGGTTGAAGAACAAGGCAAATTGAGATTAGGCGATAGCGAAGTCAATATCAGCATCATCCATAACAATGTTAGCTGATTTACCTCCAAGCTCGAGTGTGATTCTCTTAAGATTGTGCTTGTGAGCAGTTTTCATGATCTCATAGCCAACTTCAGTAGATCCAGTAAATGCTACTTTATCGACCAAATGATGCTGAGCAAGAGCTTATCCTGCAGTTGGACCATAACCTGAGAGGATGTTGATGACTCCATTGGGGAATCCTGCTTCCATAGCCAACTCACCAATTCTTAAAGCTGAAAGTGGAGTTTACTCTGCTGTCTTAACTACAGTTGTGCATCCAGTAGCCAAAGCAGGTCCAAGTTTCCAGGCAAGCATAGCTGCTGGGAAGTTCCATGGAATAATCTATCCACAGACTCCTACTGGCTCCTCTTTGGTATAAGCAAAGTATGGCCCATTAACTGGGATGGTCTTGCCATGTATTTTGTCAGTCCAGCCAGCATAGTATCTTAAGGTATTTACGACTAATGGTATATCTGCAATTTTTGCAATAGCTGCTGGTTTACCATTATCTAAAGCCTCCAAGTTAGCTAATTCATCTGTGTGCTTTTCGACTAGATCAGCAAATCTATACATAATCTTTCCTCGCTCAGATGCTGCCATTCTTCTCCATGGACCTTCATCAAAAGCCTTTCTAGCAGCATTGACTGCTTTGTCAACATCATGCTTATCAGCCTCTTAAACTGAGATAATTTTCTCTTCTGTTGAGGGATTGAAGGTATCGAAAGTTTTTCCACTAACTGAGTTAACGAATTTACCATCAATGAGTAGTTGAGTGAGTCTGGGTTAGACTGGGATAGCAGTACCGAAGGTTCTCTTAATGAATTGCTTAGATAGCATATCTTCAAAGATTCTAATAATTTATTATTTAAATCTTTAATTTTTGCCAGTTTGAAATCCACTTCGATTATTCTTAAAAATTGCAATTAAAATTCAATTCTAAAATTCATTTTTTTCTTATATCATTTTTCTCTCTTATTATCTTAAATTTTTGATTTTTGGGGTTTTGGGGTTTTGGGGTTTTGGGGTTTTGGGG